GCGTGAGCTGCGCGTCCTTGGCCAGCTCCCAGCCTCTGGATGGACGTGAGGAGCCCGCGTGCGCCACCACGAAATGAAGCTTCAGGGTCAGAGGTGTCCTTTTTGGGAAAATAGATGGCCCTGGTTGGAACCACCAGGTAAACCAGGGCCATCTATTTTCAACCAAATCAACCAAAAAGGACACCTATGCCCCTGGTTTGTTGCGGTATTTTTCAGGGGAATCATATCATAGGGCTTCTTGAAGTTTCTTGGGTGGGGCAGCACTTCGTCCATCCACAGTAGGAGACCATGACCTATGGCTCCTGGTTTGGTGCTTGAGGGCTTTTCCATTTATCTTTTACAAGAACCAGACTTCAAATCTCCACCAGTCCAAGCCACCAGTGACCTCATCCAGCTACCTCCTCCCGCCCTTCGAACGAAACGGGCACCCCACGGAAGAGGTCGTTGAAGCAGAGGTCCACCAAGCGCTCCAAAGGCGCCTCCTGGGCGGCAAGAGGCGTGGCCCAGGCCTTGCCTAAGCAGTCACCACTTGGCGCCTCGGCTACCTCGGCTATCCGTATGGCCTTTCTGACCTTCATATCTGGTTGCAACCGATGGATCCGAAAGGGAACTCGAAGCTTGAGTGGGGCACATGTTCGCGTATACGCCTGCATGAAATGCCCATGCAATCATCGCTTGGCTTGGGAGACTGGGTCACTGCTCCCACTCACTGGGCGGCACCGCCCTCCTGGCCACTTTCAGCAAGGGAGCCTGGCCGCACTGTCAAACCCCCAAGTTGTCAACTTAGAAGTCGGTTGCCCACATCAGTACCGCAGATGGACAAGAAAGGAGCACTAGTCAATGTGACATCAACGAATGAAACTTACATACCTATTGAAGTGCTATTTTGCCATCACCAGACCGTCACCAATCGGAAAGCACACACACTGTACCTATTGAAGGGTTGCAACTTCTCCGCCACGGGCGGCAGAAGCTTCCGGCAAAAAAAGACTTGCCGTCGAGTCCCAAGGCTCTGAAATGAATCTCGTCACCCACATTCGCAGTATGAATGGGCACTGGTTTGTTCACCTGCCACCTGCATTGGTAGAAACCGCTCCGGGATCGGAAAGACATCTTGAAGCTATCCTCTGTGTCCACTGCTAGAACATGAGTTGTGGATGTTTTTTGTTCTCTGAATGCTGCCCCAAAAACAAAGATAAAAGCAAACAGCATGCCTCACGTCCCCGTCTTGGGTAATTAGTTGGAACGTGGTTCTTAATCAACGAGCCGAGATAACGAACTTCACTCAAACAAAGTGCCTGTTTGCTGTGAAAAGCCTTCTTGCTGTGAAAAGCGTGAATGAACACATCAGAACAAAATCATCCAGAAAGGTCGTCGAGTCATGCGCCGTATGATCGCCGGAACTGCATATTTTTGCGTGGCTTCTTCCGGCATGCAATCTGAACTTGACTTGCCTACCGCACTGTCTTAGCGCGCCAAGCCACTTACAGATCTTCTGACGCTTGTCTCAGATCTCTCCCTTCGACCAGCACTTCGACAAAGTAACAAATGACGAAAGCAACGCCACGCGCGTCAAGCGCTTCTCAGCTGGCCATGGGGTTGGAACCAAAGAGGCCTTAAAACCCTCCAGAGGCCGCCTGCTTTCAGCAGGTCCGGCCAAACCCTGCTCGGGCCTGACGCCGGCTTCGCCGGCACCCGAAATGCCCTACTTGGCCCAAGGGTGTCAAAACTATGCTGAGACTCCATGCTTGAGGAGAAAACACTCGTAAAGAAAACTGTTGCCTCTTGTAATCTAATCATTTCAGACGCACTCCCTTCAACTTTGGACGGGCTCCTCCATCCGCGCCGCGAATCTACAGCTCGACACTTTCATGAAGGCAGCTGGCGGAATCCTGTGGGCTGCATCGTAGCGCTCTTTTGAGGAGCTCCCAGGTCACTCATGTCTGGTCTGCATCAATTCATGGATGGGCCTTCAATTCAGCCCAAAGGGGTGATGTTGAACCCCCCCCACCAAAGGAAGAGACACCGGAATTCGGTAGAGAAGCCCGCAGGGTGCTGGAATTGCTTTCCTGCACCTAGGATCATAGTGGCTCTTAATTTTGAGCCACATACGTGCCACTTCTTGGGCCATCTGCAAAGTGGCATGATTAGGCACCGTTTGCTGCTGAATGCCCACTGGCTTCATCAGTAATGAGAAGTGAGCGCCAGCCTTGAGGTGGTTCAAATGCACGCAAAATCCATGCAACGCTGGGACGTCGGGGCAAAGACTGACAGATCAACTCGTTCTGGTTCTCCCAAAAGAACGTAAATCCCAAGTAGACTTCACAAGGAAACATAAGGTATATACAAATTCCAGTGTACACATACATATACACGTACTATCATGATGAATGCATGTATAGCCACGTGGCTAGGCACGCCGTCTAAACCCCCGATTGGATGTACTTACTTTCAATGCCATCCGGTTCCGCTGGTGCGAAAACTCGATCAATCGGGGCATGTGTGGCTTCTGATCGGGCCCCCAAAATGGAGCTTGAGGGCTCTGGAGTGTGCCTCGGGGTCGGACCTCACAGGAGCACAGAGTCTGGGGATGTTCCTTTCATTGAAAGCTCATAGGAAGAACCTCAAAAACAAACACCCATTTGGACAGGTCTTTGAGTTCTCGCAGCAGCTGTCGACAGCAGTCACACTTTGGCCACGAAATGATCCAAACAAAGAGCCCAAACAAAGTCGTCAGCTTTGCTCGGCCTGCATCTGTTCCTCTTTTTGTTACCTGTCTCTCTCTCTTTCTAACTATTCTCTGCATGTTCCTTGGATTTCTTTCCTGTTCACTTGCTGGCGTTCGTTCGTCGCTTTCTTTTTGCAGCTCTTGCCCTCCTTCCTTCCTTCTTCCCTCCCTCCCGCACCTGGCTGTCGACTATCGAAAGAGTCCTCGGCACTCCCAACCGACCAGCTGGATATGCGGTCTTTCGTACTCTTAGGGTTGCTCAAAAGCCCCCTTCAAAGTAAGCATGCAAAGTGGGTCACGATTTGTGATCTTGGAGCGAAGGTGTCTGCGGAAGCCAGAAGGACTGGTGCCATGTTCCAAGGTGAACATACCCACATACTTATTGAGGATTGAATATTGGCACAAATCCTGAAGGGCTCATGAGAGAAGAGGCAAACTAATCACTCACTGGTTTACCTTGCGATAAGAGCGAACCTTGTCTGTCGCCCCCCACGAAATCAAATCCTTGAACAACAAAGGAGTTTGTTTTTGGTCAACCCCTTTCAAAAACAGTAGTCTCCCAGGATCCTGCCCGTTTGAGGGAGAAATATTTTGGAGCTTGGCGAACCCATTTCACAACTTGGTTTAATTGATGCCCGGTGAAACTCTTTTTGTCGGGGGATGCCCTGGATGCATAGGGCTGTCTTTTTTGAGAAAACCTTGCCTTTTTTGGGGTCACGGAAGCCATTGTCTCGTTTGGGTGACCATTCAGACGCGGAAATCTGTTGCACCACTCCTTTCCAGAAGTCTGGGTTTGATTTTGAAATTAGACCCCGTTTGGAAGCATCGTGCCCACGTGGTATGTCCGCCAACCATTTTTGAGGGGTCCCATATGTCCAAGTCCGCGCGAAATGCAAGCCCCAAAAAATATAAACCCATATTAGGGTTGATCATAAGGTCCTTTGCATGAGACGACCATTGGGGAAAACCACGGAAAAGGATGATATTTCAACCACTAAAATGCAAAAGTTACCCATGATCCTTTCCCGCCGAACGGACTATTGACGAACCCCAAAGGCAAATGCCTTCAATCTTTTGGCAGTCCCAAAGGTTTGGGGTTCCCCGGTGCATCCCCAGAAGCTCTGGAGCTTGGCGAGCTTGGCGTCAGTGAAGTCCGGCAAAGGTGGCGCGTGACCTGAGGTCGCTGAGTCCGCCATGTATTTGTGTGCCGTTCTAAGTGGATTCCTGAGCTTTCCTATCAGTTTCCTATGGGTTTCCTATCAGTTTCCTATGGGTTTCCTATCAGTTTCCTATGGGTTTCCTATCAGTTTCCTTTGGGCTTCCCGGTTCCCTATGGGCAATAAGGTCCTACTTCTGCCAGCGTATATCCACAAACAGGATGGAGGTGCCCAATCAACATGTCGGCAAGATGATACTCATCAGCCCATGCAAACGCCTGCTCAAATGCGGTCGGTACATAATTGCAGTCAACACCCTCCTGCGCTCGTTTGTCGATGTCAATATACACTGTAACAATCCGTAATACGTAAGGCCCCCTCTGCACAACAAGGAACACCCCACCCTTTCCCAGACCATTGCGCAAAATGCTGAAGCGCTTTAAAGAGTGTTTTATTGAAGATGGGAGTCTGACGACGTCCAGCACTCTGGCTGTTGAGTACTCAAAGCAAACGCATGCATGGTAAGTATACGGGCATAATATCCGACCTTTTGCGTCGTAGTAGGAATGCTGCTGTCGGCTGAAGAGGCACCTAATGCGGACTCTGCACCTAATTTGCATGACTCCCCCCATGCAAAACATATTTTCTCCCAGAATCTAGTCCTTTCCCGCGTCTTGGAACGCCTTCCAGGAGTCAGAAGCGCCTCGCGCCTTTCTGGAGGATACGACTTAGCGACGAGCCGCTGTGGGTTTCCAGGACAAAAAACTCCTCCCCGTCGATCTCGTTGTCGCTATTCAAATCCTTGCGTCCAAAATCAGCCCCGCTGGCCACTGATCTTCCCTTCCCAGTGGTCAAGACACAGTGCCAGTCAATAACCATCACAGGCTGAAGGAAAAACACCTTCCTCTGCTCCGTAGAGATATACAACTGGAAGCACTGGCTGGGGATGGCAAAGCTCCCTTTCAGAAAAGACATGTCAGCCCAAACCTCCTGAACACCCGAGTCCAATCTCAGATCTGGCAAGATATGTGGCTCATTGAGGACGGCGTGTCCATTGACTCAAGCAGCTTTTCTTGGGAACTCCAAAGCGTCTAATTTCAGGAGCGCCAATCGTGGCTCAGAGTCCCCGGTGGACGGTCTGCTTTGTGTTCGTTAGACGCCTTTCTGTTGAAGAAATCCCAACCCCCAACCTCCAAAACCCCAAAACCCCGAGCCCCATTCTTGAGGGGCCAGGTATCAACCGTGTGAACGCCACCTGTCTTGGCCCAGCCGCCAGGAACATGAAGATCTCATTGATCGGACCATCAAAATGAGTTGCCTCCACACCTGGTGCTAGGACGCAACGCGACGCGTGGCGCGCGGTGCTCTGCTCCATTTCAAGGGTGGAGCAAAAACAGCTGACGCATGGGCAACACTTGAAGGAGTTTGCATACGTCCATATGCAACACAAGTACGGTGCAAGGGCGGAAAACTGCATAGATCATAGATCTGTGTCTGGTCGCGTCCCCTCCCAACTTTCAGCTTCCCGAATCGATTGCGCATTTGGCTCATCGGTGAAGGATCACTCCCAGAACTCAAAAGCGGTTTGACATCTCCCACGAATCCCAACTTGCGGGGGTTTACCACCATGATGCATGCGCCAAGTAAGACGGCATCCGGCCAAAAGACTTTGAAAACCTTCGTTTTCGGGCAAGGCCCAGAGTTTCTCGGTTGCGTTGTGTGGCTCATGCCTAGTGGTTGACTCAGCCCGGATTCGACGTAGCACCTGGGACCTGAGACCTGAGGGTCCAAAGAGAGACTCCACACAGGCAAACTCCAAATGCCTTGTATCCAATTTCAAGCCTCGGGCCTGCCATCTGCCTTAGAAACGTTTGGGGTTCGGGGTCCTTATAAAGAAACCATAGGTTCCTGCGGGCCAATCCGAAGTTCACATGAAACCTGTCCAGAAGTTTGGACACTCCCTATAATTAATCAAGGTCCCAAGGCTCCCAGTTGCCTTTATAGCTCGCGGGTAGAAAAAAACCATGAAACGCCAGTTTCCTCTGGGTTGCCTAACCCCCTTTGCCACCCCCCCCCAAACCAATACATGACCATACAGTGCAAAAATTGGAAGCCTCCATGGGGTTTGGTCAACCGGCCCACCAGTCAACCTCGCTCCGGTCACCTCCTTCCGAGGCGCACTTGCGGAACTCCTGGAAGGAGATGGCCCCTGACTCGTCCACGTCGATGGCCTCGAAGGCCTTCTGCAGGGAGCCGTAGAAGACGTCCAGGTCCCGCTTGAGCCTGTGACATGGCGATGAATTCGAATATGGCTGTGGTGGTCAAAATTAATGGGATTGCATTTTGGGGTAGGTGCACCACCCATTCTAGAACCTATTTGAGTGGTTGGATTGGGATGTTCACTGGGGGATAACCGGGGTTTTGACCCATGGCCATATGGAGCGCGATGGTAGTTTTTAATATGGGAACCACCTGAAAAGTGGGTTGGTGGAATTAAAATCCCCACCTAAGTCATGTCCCGAGTTTAAAATTTACGTGGCCACGTGTGAAAGAGCCTGCTCTGCGCGCAAGTCTGGCAGTTTGCTGGTGAAAAAAAAGCCGAGTCAGCCGAGAAATGGAGAAACAGCTGCCAAGAAAAGGTGCACACTTGGAAATCGCAGGAAGCTGGGGGGGGGGGGGGGGCAACTCGCAAGCACGACCGGGAGGATTCCCAGAGAAGCTGATGAACACCCCTGCAAAGAGACTTCCAGTCCCATTGTCCTACCTCACAGGCAGGAGAGGCCAAAAAAGCAAAGACGCCGCCTGGTGAAGTGTAGTTCGCAACGGTTTGTCAATGAGCAAGGCCATTCAAGTTGAGACAAAGGGCCGGTCTCCGCAAACAAAAGCAATAAGCATCAACCAGCATGAATTTTGAGTTCCCTTTGAAAGCTATCCTGTGACGGGGTTCCTGAAAAAACAGACCCATTTGTGCGTGTTCCAATTTATTTGCCACTTGAGTCACACTGACACCCTGGTATCAATCAAACGGGTCTACCCAAACCTTAAGCCGTCCCCTACTCACTGCTATTTGCCTAAGCTTTGATTGTGGCTCACTTGAGACCCTTGACAGGGTTCCGTTTATCTCCCCTTCAAACATCACCCAAGCAGAAACTCACTCAAAATTCAAATCGGCCCATATGGTTCGACCGTGCCCGTTTCCCCCCCCAGTCTGGGAAGGCATCCCCGTTTTGGTTTGATTTGTTTTCCGAAAAATCAGGTCAAAAGAAAGCGACAACTGGCAGAATGTGTCGGGGATTCCCATTGTGGGGTAGGATATGCGTAAAGAACGTTACCAATGAAAAGTACGTTTTTTTTTTTTGAAATCCAAAAAACACACTGTCCGTTTGCCTTTCTCCCCTCCAGTCTGGTAAGGCATCCCCCTTTTTGTTTTGTTGTTTTTCTCCAACAGAAAACCGAAGGGTTCGGGTCCCGGGTCCCAATCGTGAGACACGGCCAAGTGGCTCGTACATGGACTGCTGCAGCTCCCGCCACACGCGCTCCAAGGTCTCGAACTCCTTTCTGGAGATGTCACCGTCGTGGGAGGTGTCCAGATACCGAAACACGCCTGCGACCATAGGTGGCCCTTTGGCAGAATAGCTGGCCCTGGTAGATGGAACAAACCCCATCTAAACCAGGGCCCTCTATTTTTTAAGCAAACCAACCAAAAAGGACACCTATGCCTGCGACATTTGGGACCTTAAAAAGGGATGAAACCAAAAGGGTTGGGTTCCCTACCTTAAGAACCACTTAGGATTTCCAACCAGAAAGGAAATTACAGGAAACCCCAATGTTTCAGGGGTTGCCCATTTTAAGACCCACTTAAGCCTTTTTTCACCGGAAAGGCATCCTGCGTGGCCAGGTTCACAGACTCGACTCGACTTGTGAATTTGGGGACTTGGGCGGGTCATAGATTGCTATGGCTCCTAGAAACTGCAGGACTTGAGGTTGAGGTTTCATGTTGAAAGAGGTGGATTGTCATTTGGCTTCCTTTCAACACCCTCCAAAGGACGGCTTGACATTGCTTGACACAAGGCTAGACACCCTCGGTCTCCAAATTGGCATGTTTGTTCTTCAGGAAAGAGCAAGCCACAAGGGTTCTCACTTTTGATCAAGCCAGGAATATTGTCCCTGAAATATGCAGGGGTATTTTGCTTTATGGCGATTCTGTTTGGGCTGTTGGCATAGCTGCTAAGCGGTTTTCTGAAAGGGCGAGTGCTTCATGGGGCCGAAAAGTCTATGCTGGGTCATGTACCTTAAGGGAACTGCTTGAGTCTATTCAAAGAAACTTGGTTGTTGTTGACCCCCCCCCTGCAAAAAGTTTAACTTTTTGGGGGGGTTTAGTGGAAAACGCCTTGCTTTCCCAAAAAGTTAAAGTCTAAAGATCCGACCCAATAGCAGTCAAAGAAAGGGAAGCTTGCTCTGGAGCTCTGAGGCCCCAGACTGGAGATCGCCTCCACTTGCGCGGAGTCCTCTTCATCCTCCTTGGGGCTCAGCATGCCACGGGCACCTGATCAGTCGCTTCTGTTCCCCTTAAGGGGGTGTCCAACTGGTCCAATGGAAGTGACTGATATCCTATTTGGGAGCGACCCTGGGAAGAGAAGCTGAATGGACTGGCTGTGGTTGCTTGGTCGCTATTCACATGGAAGTCAAGCTTTGGACCTTGGTGCTTTTCAGGTTCGTATACGGGAAAGGAGACCAAACTTAGCAGGGACAATTCCTTGATGGCCTATGGGATTGCTCAGGTGGGCAACGCCACTTGGACTTGCGCTAGCTAGGCTAAACGTTAAGACATTCCTTGCCTTTGGTGGGCAAGGACTTTGTCTTGGAGCATGTGTCACAAACAACCAGGACAGAGTTACGATTGTGAACGTAGAGGTCCCAAAGTATGACATGTTAAATGGTCCCTACATGTGCCATGGTCAAAGTCCGCGTGTTGTGGGCCATGCTTGCGGAATCCTTACAGACTCTCCAATTTCCTGGATCGCTGCGTTGGAACCTGCGGCCACCATTCTCCTTTGGGAGGAATGACCAAGCCGGGACCTGCAACGGTTGGCTTCATGGCAGCAGCCCTTCCTTTATTTTGAGGGAACATTGGGGAGGTTTAGGGCAGGGCTCCCCCCCTTAAACAAAGGAAACTTGGGCCTGGCCAAGGAAACTCGACTCTCATTAACACTGCCCTCTGTGTGGCGTGGTGGGTCCCCCTTCTTTTATTCACCGGAATGGGCCTGCGGACATGGTGAGCAGGTTGCCCTTCTGCCGCGGCCTGGCGTGCGAAAGTTCAGGAAACGCGCTCAGGGCCACTCAACAGCCATTCGGAAACCCAAGGTGGGTTGAATCTACCAGATCATGAAGAAAGGCCAGTTACAATCCCCACCTACGAAACTCGCTTGGCGAAGGTTGACTGCGCCCACCACAGGCACCACAAGGTCAATCCGACTGTTTGCGAGGCCACCTGATGCCGCGGCGAAGAACCTCAGTCGAACCAGGACGGACGCAAGGCAGCCTTGACGCCGAACCAATGGCAGTTCCAGCTGTTGCCCTCACCACGCTCCGGGTTCCTCCTTCACGCAAGGCTCTGATTCTTCGAGAGATCCGTCAAGCTCTTGCAAAGGACACATTACCTGCAGCCCCAAGATTATGGACCGATACCTTCTGAAAATGATCGGCGCCGCTTGCCCGCCCACAGCTCAAAGTCCGCAGCCAAAAGCAAAGGTCCAAGCCTGAGTCTTGTGGCGTAGCAATGGCGGCAAAAGCCGACCTCCGGCGTTCTTCTGTCGAAGAAAGAGTTTGCCCGCGCTGCAATATCAACGTTAAGTCCAACGTTCCCGGCGAGCCACCCAGCTTTCAAACTTGCTCGCTGTGCCGCGCATCCCTGTGCTCCGCGTGCTGCCCTCCATCATCGGGAAGCTGTTCTCTTTGTGCCATATCCATTGGCAGAGACGGCATTCTTCCTCCACATGTCTTCGGACAGGCTACACGACCCCCTGTGTCTTTGCTACCGTCTGAGGCGAAGAAGTGCGCCAATATAGAGCTAGAGAAGGAGCCTGCTCCGCACGAGCTGCGCGACTGGATCATCTCCACTCGGGAGATTGTGAGCAACGCGTTCAGCTATGACTCGCCGTGCGCTATGTCTTGGGTAATGAGCGTTGAGAACGTCAGTACCATAGAGGAGCTTGACGACGAGTGTCTCTACCCTATCCTTGACAACAGGTTCAACGCTGCACTGAGAAAGTGCATTACCTCGAAGCCCATCGTCGCCAAGATTAGCAGGTTAACTGAGGAGGCTCAAGTAAAAAGGGGAACTAGGCTGAAGAGTCGCCAGATCCTCTTCTGCTTGATTGAATACCTGCGCCCCGACGAGGTCGGGAGTCAGTCGATCCGTACGAACGAGCTCCTTCGACTCACCCTCGGTAGAGCCGCTGGATCAGGTGAACCTCAACTCGAGAAATTCTTTGACAAATGGGAAGGGCTCCTGGGAGGCATCACCGCCCCGATCGACCATCACGTTCTCCAGCACGTTTTCTTCGAGCAAGTCCGACACTCACCATGCTTGCTCCTGTTTAATAAATTTATGTCTACGCTTTGTCCGCCTTGGCCACGTCACTTTCAACGACGCACCGCAAACGTGTGGCGCAGCAAGCAGAACGAAAGCTCCCGCGAAAAAGCGGCCTCACTTGTCAAGTGTGCGAACAAGCAGCATCACTGGTTCTGAGCCATGTCACATCAGCAGCCCGCTGGCGGGAGCCTGAGGCTCGGTCCGGCTTCGGCCTGGCTGTCGTGGCCAGTAGGCTCGCCTGTCACAGCTGTCCTGGTCCGGCCACTGGCGGGAGCCTCAGACTTCTGCCTGGCATGGCTGTCAGCTCCTCTGTCATCGGCGGGACGGGTCGGGAATTGCCCAACCAGGCAACAAACGTGTCTTTTTTAGGGGTCCCCCAACAATGGCTGTTACCAACTTTTGAAAGGGTTCCAAACGATACCCTCAAAACACCCACATAACTGAGCCATCCTCAAATCCCCTGCGAAAAGTTTAACGTTAAAACAACGAAAAAGCTAAAACGCCAAGGAACCGGATGGCTGCGAAGAACCCGTATCAGATCCCTTGGGCATTTCAGGGATGTGGCCCATTCAACTCCTACCCAGGCCTCCGGGTCTTGCAGCAGCCCACCTTGGTGAGGCCCTCCACAAACTCCTGAGAAAAAAACAACAACAAAAACAATCCAACTCCCATGGATCCCCAACCCCAGGCTCCACATTGCATTTGGAGCCCTCAAAATGCATTGGAACATATGGGCTCCTCTCGATTCCGGCCGCAAAACAAAGCCGGGTACGGGCGGGAGGCGGCGGCCCGGACCCAAATCGGACCATTCTGACAAAGCCAGAACTATACTTATTTACCAACATCAAACCACTGGGGCCTTTAATCTATACACGCCTTTTTCCCTGTTTGCACTAAAATGCCCTTCCCAAAGAGCTTTCAAAGTCAACTCACTGGGGAAGCTAGAAATACCCTGCCAGAAAGCTTATTTGGGCAAAGACCCCAAAGGCATGGAGCCTCGCAAAATGGCTTGGAATATATGGGCGTGTCGCTTTAGGATGGTACAATGGGACCCTTTTGGGTTTTCACATGGGCGGTGGTCCAAATTGCCTTTTGCTTGTTCCCTTGGCTTCCCTGAACCACTGCTTCAATGCACTCTTAGCAAAGAACAAAAAGGGTGGGCCCGAGGCGCCCAATCCCCGGAGCAATGGGCGCTTTCAAGTGCGGGCAAGTCAACAACTCAACACGTTGAGCTTCTTGCGCTACACTGATCGGCGCTGGAATATCCTGATGTTTTTGCTAATTTGGTCATCCACTGCCCATTCATACACTCATCCCTTTCAAATGCTTCTCCGGCATCCCTGAACAAACCTAGTCGGAGCGCTCAGTTCAGATCCCCTTCACCGCCCAACCTGGACTCTGATTGAAGCGACACCCCTTCCGAGAAAGTAACTTTGCAAATCTTGCTGCACACCCGCATCTAGCGCTTGAAACTTGACGCTTCCAGAAACAAGTCCGTTGGAGCAATGCAGTCACAGTGTTTCCTGTAGGTTCACCACTGAACAATGGGACCGATCTGGGCAGCACATCACAACGAGAAAGCAACCATCAAGCAAGCAAAGAAAGGGATTGTCCTGCGGCAATGGTCAAATGGACTATATTGCTCGAAGGTCGCTTGACATCCATCCTAGACAGGTCCTGGACAATGTCAATTCGCATCAAGTTACATTGTCAGCTGTCGGTGTACCAAAGCCAGTGAAAGTCAGAAAAACCGCTCACGCAACTTATCACAAGCCTAACCCCAAGCCCAATTGGTTTTACGATGCGCACGGCATTGCTCAACATTTGTAGACTCGCTTGGCTTTGTTCAAACAACAGAATTGCTTTCCCGGGTAGCTCCTTGTGGTTCAGCATGTTGTCAGGCTGCACATTGAGAGCAGAAAAGGCTGCGTCCGTGCTCTTCCAGGTCCGAATCATAAACATCACCACCTGGCGGCAATTCGGCGAGCGCTGAATGACAATAGTCGGTCGGCACTAAGCAGCTCTTATGTATATTTCTATCTAGGTTTGGCGGTTCAATGGAGCATTCACCGGTTTCAAGAAAACCAAAGGGCGGATCCACCAAACATCAGCGAGTGAATCAACGGGAACAACCAGCAAATCTCTATATCCCCTTGTGGATTCATCTAGGGAAAGTTGACATTGTGGGGGAACCGTCGGCCCTCAGTGCACATACCAAGATAATGAAGAAAGCTAACAACAAAAAGCTGAACGTTGGTCCACTCATGAGACCTAGACCAGGTGAGAGAGGATGCGAGCAAAGTCATGCAAGCGGGCCGTGGATTGAACCGGACTCGCCAAAAGAAAGGGATACAATACGTGGCATGCCTTGGACTGATGCGGGTCCCATGTCAAGCCGCCTTTTGAAAGCGGAGGGAGCGGGCAAGTCGCTGCCTCCGCGTTGCTCCATGTTATCAGAATGTTCCCTGGCTGAAACCTCTGGAAATGGAGCCCAGCGCATTGAGTAGCCAAAAGACATGGGGTTCCATGTCTTAGGTGCCTTGGCTTTAAGGCGGCTAGCGAACCAAAGGTGTTCTTGGTTTGCTTGCAGAGACCCCGTCCCAAAATCACAATGTCTATTAGTCACGCGCTGAACAAAAAGTGTTTCCCCAGAAGTTCAACAAACGATGTTAAAATGTTAAACTTGAGCTAAAGAGCGATCAAGTTATGAACATGGAGCTTTGCTTCGTGTGAGGGGGTCAAATAGCATCATCAAGGCTCCTCCTTTTGGCCTGTTAATTTCTAAGATGACTTCTACCCCCAAAGCCCGAAAAACTCGTTTCACGGGGAAGCCGGGTTTATTCAGTGTCCACTGGCCTACTCCAATGTTGCCCTTGGCCCCAGTAGACAGGCTGACCCTTGTCGGCCTTCAGCACATCAGGCGGAACATCCTCCAGGCAAGACCTCCCGAGGCCGGGGGGGACGATGAACCAGTCCGGAAACTGTACACATATGGCTGTGGGTCAAACCCCTGTACCCCTGGTGAACATCAAAATAGGTGGCACGTGGGTGTTCATCCGCCCCAAAACAGAGGCATAAGTTTTGACCCACAGCCATATCTTCCATTTGCCTGAGTCCCCTGAAACCAACAAAACAGTAGTGATGATTCAAAGCCAACACGGGAAAACAAAAACAAATCTTATATAAGCAAATGGAAGAGATCCGGCAAAGAAAGCTCTAATTCAAGCCAAGCCAACGCTCACAAAGTATCAGCTCCAGCTTCCCCCTAATTGGCGCTTTGGATGGTTTGGAGGTTGAGGAGTGTTTTCCCATTTACCCTCAATAGACTCAATAAGAAGCAGGGGTTCAAATACACCGAACCACCAATCCAAGCACTCAAGGGTAACCTGAATCAAGAGCCCCGGCAAGCAAAACCAGGAGCCGGAGCCGGACGAGTTTGCTCGAGCGGCCAGAAGTCGAAGGGCGTGTCGGGCAGGTAAATCCAGCCCCCCACATTGGAAGCCAACCGCCGGCGCGCCTGTCGACGCGAAAACAAAATGACGTCTCGTGCACAGGCAAAATCCCAACATGGCACCTACACGCAAACACGTTATGTGGATATAAATACACAGGTACGTGGCAACACAATGGTCCCCTCTGAGACAACAAAGTTGGCCGTTTCCGTGACTCCTTCATTGCTCGCAAGGGGGATTCCTTGGTAATTACTGCTGTATCTCACAAATTGCATGTTACATGCGTTCACGTTTTGCGTGCGCACGTTTTGCGTGCGCGCACACACCTGCGTATCGGTTGTCCGTGACTGGGCTCATCTGTCACCCCTCTTGCACGCCTCGTCCGGTGAAGCTCGGAACAACCCAGTGAAAGGAAGAGGCCAAACCGCCCCCCCCCCCCTCCCAGGTCGCCTTGTTCACCAATCAGGCTCTGGAAAATGCAGTATGCCAACCTCTGCCATGCTCCCGCCTTCAGGTTTTGCCGATCCACCGCGCAGTTGTACGTACCTTGCCCCAAAACCGTGGCAACTACGGTAAACCTTTCGGGGCCACTTTGGCTGAGCCAACCCGAATCCGCACACTGCCCCCCCGCCAAGAAACCTCTCACGGTGAACATGCAAATCTTGGCCTCAATTTCTTTCGCAGAGAGCCCCAACTACACAAAAGGTATGGTTGATGTGCAGAAGCATGCCCTCCCCTTCCATGTCCGCCATAGACCAACACTTGTTGTCATGACGCCAAACAAAACCACAGGTCCGGATATATGTGCAAAAGGCATTGGGTCCTCAACTCAAATAGAAACTTGGTGAGTAACCCCCCTCCTTCCGTGCTCACATGGAAATTCGGTGAATGTGCCCACTGTCATCCCTTTTAATCAGAACTGGTCAATCGTGGCTATAGCTTACACTCGCACTTGGGAATCAAGCCTAGCATCCTCTCCTTGCAGGCCCACAGCAATATCAGGTTCTAGAGCTCTTTGAGTGTGCTTGGGGGACCCAATTTCCTTGACTCATTTGTGCAAAATACCCATAATTTGAGACTCAAAAGGATGAACAGGCATCAAACCGAGGCTCTTGGAACATCACCCAATCCGAGAGAACGTTAGGTAGCATACTGGGTGATTTCTGCAGTCCCTAATCATTCACAGTCCCCTTCTGCTGGAAGACAGTCATGATTTCAGCGGCAGCTTGCACAGGCCTTCATGACTCCTGGCTAGCTGCCAGCTAGTCTTGGGAAACATGAACCTGGGAGCCAAATAGGGGCCTAGAAACACAGACAAATTTCCCCTTGTAAATTTCCCTTTTGAAGAAACTGAACAACTATGGGCGATTTTGCACCTACAGGAACCAACGCCCAACGCAACAGCAGCGCGGACAGCACATCACGCAGCCGCGCTGCACTGCACGAGGCCTTGCGTTGGGATGTTGTCCATGTCATCCCAGGACTTGGGAATGCCTGGCATTCGAACGGACTGACACAGAACCCCTGGTTTTTTGTTCATACGGCTCATTTCGTTGTACTTGAAACAGGAGAACGGGAAATCGCCCCAAGATCAAGGTGAAAGTCCCAAACAGTTTCTGGCAAAGTCTCAAGGGGAAACATCGAATGTAGTCAGGATAATGCGAAGCGCGCTGGCGTGGGCAAAGCCGCAGACTCCTGCAAAACAGTCACACTGGGGCTGTGCAACCTGGATTCATCCGAAGTGACATCAAAGAAGCCTCCAGCCAGACCGGGAAACCTCCAAAATGGTTTTCTGTATTTTCTGTTTTGCGCGGTTTCCCTTTTCAAGCCGCCCGCAAAGGGGTCTTCACTTCTTTGCATGCCTGCGACGAAGGGCTGGAAGGACGGCGTGTTGGGGTTCGCATCTTTGTCCAACATGGGGTTCTTGATGTTCCTGAAGTGCAGGCAGGGGTTCCAATGTCCAAACAACCACCGGAAGGAACCGCATACGGCTCCCCATATCTTCCATTACATCACCCATGCAAGACTTGTCCGCTTGTTTAAGGCACTAGACAAACTCAATGGTGAGCAAACAATCGTAAGCACATGCAAGGGGTCCTTCGGGGCCCTTTAGATGACAACGCATTCGTTTCAGTATCCGATTTCGCAGTGGAGCCTCAGCAACCTCTCCGCAGCTGGCCATAGCTTGGATTTTGGCCCCTTCGAAGGACAGAGAACCAATTTCCTGTTGAAGGAGCCCTCGACAGCAAATCCAATCTGGCAAGAAACCAACGGGGCTTCCAGGAAGGTTCTTTGAACCTAGAAAGAAATTATGAAAGGGTTCTGATGACCTTTCTGGGGTCCAATTGCGTCACTCCCGACACTTGCTGACTTGGGCAACGAAGAACAATCCTTCACCCGTCAAACCAAAGAGCACGGCATCCTCAGAGGAGGACAGGCGTACCTGGGTTGGTCTTTGATGATCCAGAAAATCAAATTGGTTGATAGGTGTCTCAAGGTTGAAAAGTCAAAGCTCGTGCCAAACAGCAACCATGGTGCCATTGTGTGGAAGCAGCGGCGCTGCTCCCATACTGCCAAGTCAAAGGTGTGCGTTGACATCTCCTTGGTGCGACAGGGAAAGAACGGTCATCCACCTCAAGCGGTGCGTTGTCAACATGCCGTCCACCCAAAAATGAATGAACAAAGAAGGAAATGCGCCCCCCCCCCTCCCGCAAGTATTGTCAATAATCCACAGCGTGCACTGCTGGAGTTTGTGCTACGCGTATGCAGCAGTATGCAAATGTAGGCAACGGTTGCGGTTACTTTCAGAGAGCCCCTAGCTTGCTTATGTGTGGATCAACATGGCTCGCCTGACGCAGTGACGCTGGTTTCCAACATGTGTCCAACTACACGCTAAATTATGGAGATATCCAAACACCTGGAACCCGGTGAGTACGTTTAAAGTCATTCGGAAAATCCATCTAAGCCAAGCTGGTTTAATAGTCTCGTGGTAGGTCTGTGAAACGGTGCAAACTGTCTGCCTGACTTTGCCATGACTTATTCTGAACCCCTAAATCGGGGAGCATTGCGGCTTTCCACACGCACAACATCTACGAATACACCCTCTGTACTCTCCGCAGATGACGCACCAAGCATCACCTAAAGCGTGCGAATCACATGCCATGGCCAAGTGCGCCCAACACGCAACTAAGGCTCGCGCTGAGATCTGGCTCCATGGCACAACTGTCAGTATTGACATCTGCCTTGCAATTGTCATGAGATATCCATACTATAATCCTCACAATGCGCCCCTGCGCAAAAACACAAATTTGTTGTTGCCTTGCCGCTCTTGGCCGCTTCCGATTCCTCAGTGCTCAAAGTCCCTAGAAAGCACATAGTATCCTTTACGATGTGAACACTGCAGGTCTGAAAATCTTGAAAAGTCGCTTCGGGCACAAAGCTACTTGCATCGAGCGGCAGGCTGCCCGTAGGAGAACAAGTTCATCCATCCCAGCCTCAGTCAGAGCTGCATGACGATCGGCTGCAAAAAGCGTGGGAGAAATGCGAGTTCGGGGATCAAGGCCGGCCCCTTGCATGCATGAATCCATGTTCCAAGGCACCACTCTAGCAAACTGCCCTTGATCAAGGCCATTGGAAGCCTCATGGTTGCTCACTCGCGATTCATATTTCGTGCCAACTGGTCCGCCTGTGCTGGCTTGCTGGTACCCTGGAGCCCAGTTAGTCACACCCAAATTCCACTTCGGCGTGCTGGTACCCTGAAACCCCTGTACGCATACCCAAATCCGACGTCAGAACATCGCCAGCCTACAAACTCCTGAGCATTCCTCAAAATTGGGAATCCCTGATCTACCTTGCCTTGCCAGCTAACAATGGTACGCGAAAAGAGTATAGCTGAATATGACAAGCCTACCCAAACTCGCTCCAATGCAGACCTTTGGGCTAACAACACCCGTCGAATCGGATGCCACAGATGGCCTGGCGAAGAGTTCGTGTCGTTGCGCGAGGTTGAACTTGGGCAGGCAGCCTGGAGACATGCTAGGTTTCGCTATGCTTCGCTGCACACAGCACCAAAAAGCGGTCTCCAGTCTAGGACAACGCAAAATGTGTGAACTGGGACCAGTGTTTCAAGCTAACTAGGTGGCATGTTTGCGACCCTTTCCATGAGGCTGGGTAAGTTGAGGGGCAACCAATTCTACAGGGGGGTTCAGAACACAGGAAGCAAGACACATCATGCTGGATACTCAGTTTGGTCCCTAAGCGAACATGAAAGACAAACGCTGACAAGGCTACCATGAAACCAAAATCTCCGGCATTCGCACGTGTTTGTTGAAGCAAGGCTCTTCACATGTCCCGTTTAAACATCCCCCACTAAAAGGAAGTATGTATTTAAGCTGGCCAAAAGGGACAAATCATAATCCTGAACCAAACAAATGAAGCCTTTTTTAATGGCTGCGGCTGACCCGCAAACTTCAATTCCTCAGATCAAATGAGCCGTGGACATGGGCTTGCCACCCAGGGTGGTTCGGACTCCCCGCAATCACTGCCAGTTCCTCCGTCGGCCAAGCTGCACTTGCCGTTGATGGGCCAGTCCACACACCGCAGAAAGAAGGCGACAAGAATGTCCCCGCGGTCTTGTCCTGAGTGAGACTACATGTCCCTTGCTGGGTGGGTTCAATATTGCCTTGCGGGCCATGGTTTCAAGGAGGAACTAACGAGTCTTGAGACCGCAGGAGCAAATATGTGGGCAAACCACGGTATGTGGTTTTGTTCTACTCACTTCATAGGAGGAAGGACATGGCTTGTTCCGTTTTGTCTGACAGTGGCAACACCAACTTGGATCTTGCCATTAACTTGTGCAACCAACTCAGCGCAACAAAAGAAACAAAGCGTCAAGTATTATGAACTGCTTCAGCCGCAAACAAACACTCATTTTTCCGAAGCAAGTAAGTGTGACACGTACAACATATCTCCAGCTTCAACAGCTCAGAAAGCTGATCATGGTTAACAGTGTGGACAACCCAAGCTGTCAAACAGTGATGTTGCCACAGAAGGATCCTTCTCAGCTTCAAACACAAGAGATTCTCAATTCTGTGAACTCTTGTTGCATCACATCCTTCTGTGGCATCCTACACGCAAGTCCCTCGCGGCGGGCCGCTTACAGAAGCGAGATAAGTTACACGCAGCAAGCACAAACTGCGAGAAGAACGGGCCACTATCCTCCCACCACCTGACATGGAACCTATCTGAGGAATCCTGGAAGTATTTTGTCCTCTTCAAGGGCAGTACTCATGTTGGAGGGTGGGGTAGCATTAAGCGCAGCAGTCACACTTAGTTCACCCTTCGCACGTGGCTTTGAACCCAAGAAGCCAAACCCAGTGATTCCAATCACAACGTAGCCAAGCAGGGGCACGTAAGCCCGACGGTAAAAATCCTCAGGTCAACCAAAAGGTATTCTCTAGGTGTCTTCACGTTACCTCTTGTTGGATTGGTGGTTTGGATTTGGGAAGGTGCCTTCCCACTTGGTTTCAACACAAAGCGGGGGGGGGGGGGGCAAATCCCAAGCCAGAAGTTCAAACAAACGTCAGCTAAGCTTAAATTGGTGGCCACCGGAAAAGCCCCTCGCACACACACACACACACATAAACCACAAAACATCAGCGATTGCTACCTTGCCGGGGCACTGTTCAGAAAGATGCAGAGAAGGTTCCTGCCAGCAGATTGGGGGGCCTGGTCGTGTTAGATGGGCCGGAGAGTATCTATCCAGCACGTCAGCGGAAAGACTGTCATACACAGACTTGTCTTTCCGATTTTCCATACTCCAGGTGGAAACTACCTGTGGCCCAGCCCTTTCACGCAAAACCATGCCCTTTGACTCATACGCCCCTCTTAGGCATTGTTCAGATTGGAAGAAGGACATCAAACACCGTGCGCCGAATCCATGACGAACTCCTCTCACAATTAGTGCCAGGAATCTAAAGCCCATTTCCGCGTGCAAATGTGACACCACAACACTCCAACGGACCAACGACCCCCAAGCCACTCCGGAAACCGGACGGAGAGGCTCAACACGGGTTAGAACAAGTAGAAGATGCCTAATATGTTTCCCACCGCCCAAGCCTTGCGATCGCCAAGGTTTGCTTCAATGTTCATAAGAGGGCCGTGTAAGAACAGCCCCACCAGGTTGGAAAAGAGGCGAGCACAACAACAAATAGAGTACAAAAGGCAGGACCCATTCTGTGGCAATATAGGTGTTTGGACTCCTTGTGCTTGCTCTTCTTCAAATTCTTAAGCGGATTCTAAGGGGTCCCCCCCTTATGTTTGGAAACACCCAGATTGCAAAGTCCACCCCCACCAGTCAATGTTTGGAGAATTTGTTGGAGGTCGCATTCAAAAAAACCCACGCAAAGGCCCCTATGTGTGGGTTGCCCATTTCGAGACACACTCAAATGAGGCTGCGTTTGGGTGTAAACAAGTTTGGGACACACCCAGCCCGAGATTTTAGGCAAGTTCCCGTTCCCAAAGTGAAAAGGGAGCGCCCCAAGGGTCTCCGAAGCAAAAGCCACCAGACCCCCCCCACGTGCCCACTCCTCAGCTGTCGGGTGAGGAGCCACACGCGGGAGCTCACGGCTCGCAGTGCCCACATCACTTTGGCCACTTGGCCCCGCACAGCCGGGTCCTCCTGGGAGAAGCCGGGACAAGGAACCAGGAGAGCGACTTTCCATAGGTGGCTCGTCTTGTTTTTAGACCCAATATCACCCCAAAAAGGGACCCAGAAAGAAACGACACAGATCGACATTTTGGAAGCAACAAGGCGCGAGTGCTCTTGACATCTGGCTCTTGTCTGCCAGCAATGGCCTACATTGCCACATTGCCTCACCGCACCGGCGCATTCATCCCGAGTGTCTTTGTTGGCTACAGCTCGAGACATCGGCAAATGGCCGTGAACGAGTTGATTGCAAGGCAAGCGTCGGTCCCCCTCACAACGTTGTGCCAACCTCTAACATGACATGAACAACTGGGTGTGGCTCAAAGTTACGCAGGTGTCGGTCCATGTTTCCACTTGCCAGGGTTCCATTTTGGTACCGGGTTTTTGAGCCACAGCCAACTTCCCGGTTCTTCTCTCCCCTGGTGCCCGGTGATGGGACCAGGGCGCCTTTTTTCGGGTCCATCAAAAGCGATCAAAAGGGCTGAAGAGTGCCAACAGCCTCGCGGAATCCCCAGAACGCAACTGCCGTCCTTGTCGCCCTCGCGGATGTTCAGAGAAAGTAGGTCCTGGCCAAACCGCAAGCAAAACACCCCCAAAACAAAGCTACACACGTTGAGGGTCTCCTATGTGGAAAGACAAGTCCAGTATAAACCCTGTGCTTGCTCCGAAATGAAAATGGACAGTTGATTGAGCTCCCCCAAGTTGTTGTGAGATCATTCCGAGCTTCTTCCCGCGTCTTTGCAACAAATATGCAGATCAATCAACAGTGCCACTTGCTGTGCGCAAGGATCAAAGCGCCAAAGAGTCGTAACATGTGTATAAATCATAAAGGCGTCACTCGCTAAGGCTCCTTGATGTCCAGGTCTAAACTCCTTCATGGCTGTGCCAATCCAAAAGCAAACACCACAACTCCAAAGCCAGAACCCCACAGCCCCAACCTCCCAAAGCCATGTGCACAAACCAAACTATCCGAATTTCGAATCCGAAAACATGAATGGTGCAATGCCCAAGACATGCCCATTCCAAACCCAACCATCCACATCTTTATTTTTTTTGCAACCATCCCCACAGCAAAGCCCCGAAGTCTAAATCCCCTCTATCCCTGAACAGAACGCCTAAACCCACAAGCTCTCAAACTTCAAAATCAAAAGGCGGGAAGCAAAGTTCTCATGGATACGGGTGAAGTGAACGCCTCCACCGCCAAGGGTGTCCCTTGAAAATGAACCAGAAGGACATTTCAATCTGTTGTAGACTGGTGGAACATCATTAGTAGGGTACTCCGAAGAAAAACATCCCCAATCTGTGTGCGTGTGTGTTCAAAATGGGGGAATCACCAAAATGGGCGGCTTCCCTTTCATTTCTCTTTCACTCCCAAAAACAAGTACAGGCCAAAACGCGGTACCCTCAAAAAGGCACAACCAATTCCACGGCGCCCAAGAGACGAACAGCGACTCTCGGCTTTCTTCGGTCCCCGAGCGCCGCCAGCACTTGACCCCAGGCTTCCACCGCCACCACCGGCACCGCCGCCGGAGGCCTAACAGCGCTTCCGCGTGGAACCATAGGGGTCAAGGTCACCCCCGTTCAATGGTGGGTTAAAGGGAAACAACCACATTTTCTGACTTTGATAACACCCAGAAACAGTCAAAATGATGACCCCAGCAAATGCCCGGGGATATATGCGTGTCAATTGTAGGGGGCTGTCTTTTGGTGGTGTCTTTAAACTGAAGTGAACATGGTACCCTCAAAAACAAACACACAGGAGGTTGACCCAAGGATAAGGGCTGGTCCTACGGGTGAATTTAGGGATTCTTAAGCGTTGGCTCTAAGGGCTATATAAAGGATTGTCCGAGTTGTGAAGGATGCTCTCTTGTCTCCCCTTTTAGAAGTACTCCAGATTGAGAACCATAACTTTCCCACACACCATATCAACCAGGAATTTCAATTGCAATCCGTAACTGCAACATGTAACGCCAATTGCGCCGAGGTTTACATTGCTGTCCTTGCTTCTTCTTTGTCTAAGAGGAACCAATGAGAAACTTGCCTCTTCTTTGCGGAGGTTGACCATGTCGCGATTTCCGGGTTGGGAACTCGCTGGCCTGTAGAGCGCCACAAAGTCAAGGGTGAGCTGCCCCGAGGCCGGCAGGCGCCAGTCGCTGTCTGTCCAACTCAACAGCTGGCCTGGGCCGTTCGAGAGCCTCCCTTTTTGCGGTACGTAGTTTTACGGTACACGGTTCGCTTGCTTTTGCAGCCGCATACTCGAAAGGCGCTTTTTTATGGCCGTTTGTTTTCCATCCCTCTATCAGGTAGCAGGGGGTCGAATGGAGGGCGTGCGTTTTCAAGGGTGCCCGTTTTGAGTCGGGGAATATGCCCAAACAGGAAGCCAGCCACGAAACCAAAAACACGGGCACGCTGCGATGCAGGAGCAGGATAGCCAAAACAAGCAGAAGCAGCGGAAGTGCGACTGTTGGCATGCAGTGAGGTTTGAAGGTCACCTGCAAAAGCTTCCCATTAATGTCAGAATACCAGTCACATTCGAATAGATCTTCGATTACAGCTTCGGCACATGTCACGAAAAGTGCTGCACCCGGTCTGCCTGCACAAGCGACATACCGTCATACCCTCTTTATCCTGCAACCCTCATACCCATCCAATGAACTAGTTAATCACACATGGTTTTGTTGCCAATGTGAACCTCAGCCAAGCATGCTAAAATTGCAAAGCGACCGCTAACCTCTTGGAACGAGTTCTGGTCGAAGGGTTCTGAGAACCTTTCTGGTGGGGGGGGAGAGGGATCTGAAAGTCTCCGAAGTTGGTGAACCGCAAAGCGGTTGCCATGTTCTCTGAAGGCTAAATGATCTAACTGAACAAGACTAATGACAAAATAAGTTACTGCTTCTTTGTACATCTCGAAGGTAATCCTACTCTTCCGGCGGGCGATAACGTTTACCAAAACTAATAGCTAGTTTAAACTGACCACAATTATGCCGCCCGTCATTTTGGGGTCGAACCCTTCAACAGAAACGCCCCTGATCGCAACGAAACCTACGGAAACCCAGGTCAGAGGGAAGAAGGCAGCTGGAAACTTTAGGGAAGCAGCCACTTTTTTTGAAGGAAACAAAACAAAAAAGCGGCCAGCCAGCTGCATGTCCTTGTCCAAAAACCTTGAGACCAGGGGCCGTCGAGCAGGGCGTTGCGCATACACTTCCTGAAGGTGCGAACGGCACAGCGACCCAAAATTTGCGGAGGACCGAGTCGGAACTCATCTGCGTGTTCCACAGAAGGTCTCAAGAACATGTCAGTAGGAAACGCTGTACGAAACATCGAATCCTGTAGTTTCCGTTCAGGAAAGGCATGTGGACAGTCAAAATGCAGAAAGTCATCAGTCTTGGGCCTGCCCTTCATGAAGCCCCCTTTAGTTCAAGAGATTCGTGGGCGTGGGGAGCAACCTGGCCAAAAAAGCCAAAAGCCGTGCGTCTGGACAAGAGAGCGAGGTCACTTGCAGGGATGACACTGCTGCGTGTTGGTGGTGTCCAAGCAAAATCGGGGGTGCCCGCCGAGCTCAGAAAGTTGCGAAAACACGGCGTTTTCGCGCTGCGGTGGCTGAAATACGGCCATGGCCATGGTTCCATTACCCACCAGCGCTTCCCCCAAAGCGTTGCGTGGGAAATTCTGACGGAGGCGCCCCTTGCCGTCCATGGTGACGTCCACCAAATTAGCGGAGCGCCACAGATGCAGCTGCCAGCGGTTCAGCAGAAGCAGCTTTTGGGCCACGGTCCGGTGGGACAGCACCTCCTGGCTTGGGTTGGGGTGTTAGGAGGTTGCAGGGCTCCTGGGGCGAGTAGTAGGTGGGACAATTTGCCGTCATTTTGGAGGCTCAGGGGTCCTGAAACGTCCCTTTGGGGCTGGGGTGGGATTTTCCCGCGATTTTGGGGGCGGCTTGTGCATCACCTTGGGGTGGAGAGATTCATTTGAGTGGTTTACACATCACCTTGTACAAAGCCCAATGTCAGTGAATTGTCCCTTTGGTGGGCTGATGTTCAAAGGAAGGCAAGGGGATGGTTGTTCAAAGGCCATGATAATTTGAAGGCAAACCAAATAGAGATAGTTTACACAGAACAGAAACGCAACAATCAACAGGAGTTGTTGTTGGTGTGTTTTAACAACTAAGATGATATGAAAAGGGGCGGTCGAGGGCGATTGGGGGGCGATTCAGGGCATCATGCGCACCGAAAGACACTAACTTTATGTTGGCCTTTCCAGCAGGTAATGCTTCGAACCGCCAAAAGGGACGGGTGAGGGATGGGTTGAGGGATGGGTTGAGGGATGGGTTGAGGGATGGAGAAGGAGGCGTGCCTGATTTAAGTATCTTGGGCAACAGCAGTTGTTCCTTCTTCTCAGTGCCCCTTTGAAGAGCAACACTAGGGTCTTTGAGCATTGCAGCTTCCATAGTGGTCACTGATTGACTCGAGGATGGGGATGTTGGTATCGGCTCAGCAAACTGTCTATGAAAGTTCAGTAGCTGGTTGTTACACACTTGTTGTTTGCGATACCAGTTCCTGGCTACCGTCTTCCAGTCTCATGTTCATGCTTGTTCTTACGCCTTAGTGATTTCCAGTTGCGACTTTGTCTTGCTTGCCGTGTTGAAAATGTCAACGCGCCGATGCGTCACTCCTATTGGCATTTGAAGACACAGCAACTCATCTATGTCATTAGGAAGGCAGTGGGCTTGCAAACAACGCCCAAAAAATGACAAGGCGTCTCATGCTTCCAACCTGCAACTCTTTCTGCTCGCTATGACACAGTCATGCTTCCCCTGGGTAGGATCCCGTCTTACTATCTCCACCAACGCGCTGCAGATTTCCCTACAGAAAAGGGCAAGGGATGGCAAGACAAAACACGTAATTTTTTTGCACCGCCTTTCCCTTGAATGGGTATCGAAAACTCTTCCCAGACAGCTGCATCAAAAGCAATGAGAGGTACTCCTCCAAAAAAGGTGGAGCACATGTCACATGCACATCATATCAAAGCACAAAGACACTTGGAGATGTCCCCACACGATCCGCGGCCGCAGAAAAGGTTTGAGCCGCGCATTGAATTTTGAGCCGAGACGCCAGGCGCAGGGCGTAGTGCCCCGTGGGGTTTTCCAAGTTCAGCGACATGAGCTCTTGCGCCTCAGACTCGAAGTCCACCAGGTCCTGTCGACGCAGAGAGTGCCCAACCAAAACTCGCGACAAAAACAACACGTGTCAAACTGGGTCAAAATACACGGTAATAGACTATAGAAGGTACCCGGACCCTTGGGTTTGCGAAGGTGATGGCTGGGTTTGCTTTATATAACTCATAAGCGAAAGCAAGAAAAGAACCCTTCGAAAACGGCTCTTACCGGAGAAAAACAGCACGGTCCCCCCTGATTTCCGGTGGTTCCAACCAGAAAAGAATGCCGCGCGCGCGAGGAAAACCGGGCGAAGCTAAAAGCCTGGAAGTTCTGCTTGAACGTACGGCCATTCGTTCCTTCAATTGGCTCCTGAAGCTGACTGTGAGCAAGTATAAAGACTGCATTCTAGCATGAAAGTTACCTCCAAAGTCACAGGGGAAACAACCCCCCGTTACTGACCTTGAAAAGTCAAAATCCTGACTCCAGTATTGGCTTTCGTCAAGACATCACTGCGACCTGGGGAAACTTCCGGTTCCAGGTTCGAAACAAAAAAAAGGCGTTTTTCCCACCATCTTACCGTTATCAAAGCAAAAACCACCGGAAAACGCGGTGGCTCGGAGATCCATGTGACACATCACTGATTGCACCAACAAATCCCAGTTCGGCTCTCAAGCTTCTTGGCGGTGGTACTCAGCAGGTAAAACTCACAAACGACTCCCCCGAGTTTCTCACGTGTCTTGCTGTCCATGCAAATACATTCTTAACATTATATTCATGTGTATGCGCATATAATATATGCAATTATATATAAACATGTATAGAGATATAAACACATCAATATGTCTATGGACATACAAACATACCCCCACTCTTACCTTCCCTCCGGCTTCCAATTCCGTGTGACGTCGCCGCGTCCCTCTCGCGCCTTGGCCGTGTCCGTGTTCAGCGCCGCATGCAGCAGCGGCTGGGGGGCCATCAGCATCGGCAGCATCCGCAGCAGCGTCTCCTTGGCCTTGTCGCCTACGCCGAGCTTCCGGAACGCCGCGCAGAGCGCACAAGGCTCAATCTCTTTTGACAAAGACAGCATAGGCAAACCGGCCGGAGCACAAGGCCTTTGGACCCAAAAAGGGCCTATGTTGCAGCAGCAAGCCCTAACTAACACAACACAACACACTCCTCAACAAGGAGATTCCAGCAAATGAGCCATACATAAATCATGTTTGTTTCGAATGTAGAATAAGCCAATTATCATGTTTGTGATCATGACCTGTACTACTTTGATTTGTCCACATAGCCTGCTTTTCTATTGCCCACAGAAGAACCTGCCAGGCCCAGCCCAGCTTGTCGTGCGAGAGAGGGACGTAGCCGTGAATGCCACAGCTCACAATAGTGCAGGCTATGTTGTCATGATGCTGTTGGTGGAAATCCAACTAACCTATGGCTGTGGGTCAAAACCCTGTACCCCTGGTGAACATCAAAATAGGTGGCAAATGGATGTTCATCCACCCCAAAATGGAGTCATAGGTTGTGCCCCATGGCCATATTGATCGAGCTCCTGAACGGAGCTGCTCGCCCAGTTGGCCTACTTGGCAGGCTTTCATCATGGCCAAGGCTCATTGTAAGTGGCGGGGTGGGGCTACCAGGGTCCCACAAGGGGAACTCGTGGTTAAACAACCCAAACCCGTGTGAACAAAAATTCTGGCGGCC